AATGTTTATAAAAAAAAGGGGGGGGGGATTAGTTTCTTACACAAGTACCTATATTTGGGTATGTTTTTGTATATATATAACTATGTGTAGAAATCTATTTTCACTTTTTTACCCCAGTAAAAGATATTACAGTCAAAGGTACTGTACATTTTATCAAAACTAAGCAGCCAATGACAGCTGAGTAACTCTCACAGTAGCTGGAAGAATTCCTGAAAATAGGGAAAGGTCTGTGTTGTGAATAACTTGGCATCCATAAAAGCCTTGAGTATGAAGTCCTTGAACTGTACTTTCAAGCTAAAAGCAGGGACACAGACATACACAAAACCCAAAACACAAACCACACACACACAAAAAAAAAAAAAAAAAAAGAAAGAAAGAAAAAAAAAGGAATCACTGCTTAGAGATTTATTCCAGTGAAAAAAAGTGATATAAACATGTATTCTGTGTTTCTTCTCTTCTTTAAATAGTGTACATGGTTAAAGAATGGACAGGGCAAAGAATAAATATGCCTGGAACAGTTAAAAGTGGGGGTCTGTTTTAAGCAATCTTTTCCTCTATTTCTTTTTTTCTTTTTTCCCTTTATACCTCTGAGGTATATAGCAATGGACACTGTCTGAATGTCACTCACTAGAATGAACTGTGGTGCATTTGCCCTTGTGCTTTTCTCCCTGTTGCATTTGGAAACAAAGTCTTATTTTTCTAAAATTGTTTGGAGTGGACAACAGCTCAGTTTTGTTCATCTTAATCTAAACAGTAAAAATGTAAATTAATTTATAGACATGAAACTGAAATTTTTAAAATATATATTTATTTTTATTGCCTACTGCAGAATAGTGATTGTGAAGGCACTTGACCAGGGTGATTGGTCTTGCATTGTAACTTAAGTTTTTTTGCCATCCAGAGAAATAAAAAGCTTTGAGGAATGCCACTGTATGCTTGCACCATATCAGACAAGGCATTTAAATATTTTGACATTTAAACCTCTTCCATGTTCTTACGGCTTTGTATCTGAGCACTTTGTATCATGCACAAGGTGCATGAAGTTATTACAAGATCAAAAGTTACTTGTTGAACTGTTTTCACTGAGAGAGCCTTTGCTGGGTGGACTTCCAAGAGCAGAAAGGGGTAGCTTTGGAGACAAATGATTGTGACAAGTGTTGTCAGCACCTCTCACGTGGAGCTGATAGCTTGCAGTCCTTCTCTGCACTTTGAGGTCGCTACGCTTTAGCCTGAGACTTCAGCCTCCAGAGAAAATCTGTATGTGTCTTCAACAGGACTTATTGCTACCTGGTGTTCTGAATTTTCTACATAAATAAGCTTTTTACTGTCATTTAAAAGACAAAATGGTGATGGAGTAAAACAAGTTTGCTAGCACCAAGGTTACTGAGAATTTCACTCCTTCTAACTGCATCCAGAAAGGGTCCCCCCCGCAGAGGCGAGGCTGCTCTCCTGGGCTTGGCAGGGCGATGCCTGCTCCTCTGGGCACTTCCCGCTCCTATTAGCATAGCCCAGCCTATATCGCACACACACCCAGTAATACCTCACTTTGCCACTGCACCGAGGCCAAAAGCACAAGCCTTACAGGGAATATAAAGTGGGAGGTTACCGGAAAGAATCACAAACTAATATGAGACTAGACCAAATTTTTGCAAAGAGCAGAAAATACGAACTTTGCTATCAATGGTTCTTGCATTTCACGTAGCTGTTTATATGATTGAAGCATTTACTAAGTGTTTTTATTGAGCATAGTTAGAGAGCAGCTGCAGAAATCTTAAGTGCTTCTGTTAATTTTTTTTTCTCTGTAGTTTTGGAACTGCAAAGTCTCAGAAGAAAACTGGAGAGTGACACAGAACAGGGTGATTCCTCAACTGTGTGCTCTTCGAAAAGAACTGCTTTTGGGGGGTGGAAATGATGACAGGAGCAAAAAGGAAAAGAAATGCAGTCTGGAGGAAGATTCAGGCTGTTCGCTTTGAAGATATCAAAGTCTGGTGTGTGAGTAGGCTGCCCATCTTGACATGGTTGCCCGTCTACAATTGGAAGGAAGATTTGATTCCTGATATGGTTTCTGGGACAATGCTAGCCATCCAACAGGTGACTCAAGGTACAGTTAACTTATTTCAGATTCATATTTTGAAATCTGGTCATGCTGAATAGGTCTGGTCTTTTTGTTTTTTTTCCTTTCTTGTTTAGTATTATCTTAAAGATTTGGTTAAAACAAAGACATGCTTATATAGCTAATGGTGATTTAATCTAAATAAAACTATAAGGAAAAAATGTATAGTCTTAACTCTTATATGTATATAGTGAACATGCAAATGTGGATAGAAATGCCTTGTGTTATTGTAACTAATTTCTGTGAGCTTTAACTTTACTATATATCCCATACCTTTGACAATTTTTCAGAGACTTACTATAGAAGACAAGAGAGCAGTAACCCTATTCACACAGCGTATGGTTATATCCTGTTTTATCCATTAAATGACCACCTTTCCCTATTTCACAAGGAAAACAAAACATATCTAAATGATAATTGCATTGTAAGGCATACAGTTCTGGAGGAAACATTGGCATTATACTGTTACCTGTGGAAGCCCAGAGCACAGTAGGAAAAACCAACAGCTTTCTGTGCATAAAGGGTGCCTCTGCCAGAGACATTACCCATGGAGAGGATCTGCCTGCATCCGTGGCTTGTGTACTTCTGCTTCTGTGTTGATTTAATGCTGTATTACATTAACTACCATGTCTCTTTTCAAGCAGCAAAGTTGGGGTGGAGCTAGACTCCATTTAGCAGCTTAAAAAAAAAAAAAAAGAAAAAAAAAAAGAAAAAGGAAAAACTCCTCAAACCAAAAGCCTGCACAATAATCTGCAGAAACCTAAAGTCCCAGTAATCCATGTTTGTAAAGTGATTGCTGCTGGGAAATAAATGTTTTTGTCAGTTTTTGATGTGTCTTTGACAGTGTCACCTTCTTTTGGCAATATTTTATATTTGACTCAGGCAAATAACAGCTTCTTCCCTGCTTCAGATGGACTTTAACTCCTTCCCATATGTAAACGATATATATTATTTCTTAACAATTTCCTATATTAGCTATCCTTAACTATCATTTATGTTGTTAAATTGTAAGCACTCCTTTAACTGAATTATGCTGGAGCTGGAAACAACCAGCTTGTGTAAGTATTTGTGCTTTTAAAGTAATTAGGAACATCTGCATTGGCATGATTTGACTTTAAGAACCTTAATACTGTAACACTGTAAAGTATCTCATTTCACTGGTATGTGCATATAAAATTGTAATTAAAATGCTGCTAATAACATGTAGAAATTCATCAAAAATATTAAGTTAAATAACAGTTCTGCATTGCTAGTAGTTTCAGCCAGGATTTTCTTGTTTGAGTCTTGTACCAAGAAGTAATTTATGAAGATCCAGTGAAGAAAGAAAATATTGGTTTTGTTTTTCTAGATTATTTTTAAGTACTCTAGAAATAATATTATCTTCATTTTATGCCGTTTACAAACAAATGCATTGAAACTCCTCCCTCCTGCTGACCTTTTTCCTTTCTCTCTCTTCACTGCTTCTCAAGATTTCAGAATGATTTTGGGGGATGGAAAAGGAGAGTTACATACCAAAGGGCAATGAAGCTGGTGAAGGGTCTGGAGCACAAGTCTTATGAAGAGCAGCTGAGGGAACTGAGGTTGTTTAGCCCGGAGAAAAGGAGGCTGAGGGGAGACCTTATTGCTCTCTACAACTACCTGTAAGGAGGTTGTAGTGAGGTGGATGTTGGTCTCTTCTCCAAAGTAACAAGTGATAGGATGAGAGTAAATGTCCTCAAGTTGCACCAGAGGAAGTTTAGATTGAATATTAGGAAAAAATTCTTCACCAAAAGGGTTGTCAAGCATTGGAACGGGCTGCCCAGGGAAGTGGTGGTGTCACCATCCCTGGAGGGTGAGTAGTTAGATGAGTAGATGTGGTGCTTAGGGACATGGTTTAGTGGTGGACTTGGCAGTGCTAGGTTAGCAGTTGGGCTTGGTGATTTTAAGGGTCTTTTCCAACCTAAACAGTTCTATGATTGTAAAGCATTTTATCATGTTTGTGGTGCTTTAACTTGAACACAACACATTTTAGACCCTGCTTGTAATAGCTCTTTTCCTACTGTTGTAAGCCTTCCAGTTACCAGGACTATCCTTTAATGCTTTCACAGAGAGTGTTATGTAAGAAAATAAAAAGTCTAATTTGTTATATAGCACAAAGGGAAAAGACCCCAAATTTTGAGAGGTCTTATTGTGTTTATCTCCTTCCATCCACAAAATAAAACAAGAAGTTTTGTAATGAAATGAAAGGCAGAAATTCTAACAGTGGCAGGAAAAAAATTGTAACCAGTCATCATTGACATGCAGAGCTCCCTGTCATTTGGTGTTGTAGCAACATGTTTAAGAAAATTCAAGGACATGGAAATAAACTTGACTTATTGAAGTAAATGGAAAATCTACAGCTGTATTCACATACGACAGCTTTCTGTTCAAAACAAAAGATAATGCTCATTTGTTTGAAACATGTCCAAGTCATGTTTGGCCATTCAGAGGGAATCCATTTATCAATAGCATTCAGGACAATTAATAGATCCAGTACTGGGGTGGGGGAGAGGCAATTGAGGAGTGTAGGGAGGTGGGAAGGAAAGGCATGGGATTGTCATGGTGTGCTGCTTGGCAGTTGTGATGAGTCATTGCTGAAACCAAGCAGTTGTTCTCCAAGTGTTCCTATAGTTTTATTGTCTGCTAAATATGCCACGCTAATCTCAATTAATGAGTCCCAAAATTCACTGCTGAACTCTTCTATCTTATTTACCTGTTGAAACAATACTTGTATGGTCTCTGTGTATGTCCTCTAATTTTAGAGTCCTTTAGCTAATTCCACAGAAGATGGAGCAAGAGGTGTCAAAGGCAATTATGTTTCTACTAATTTTATGAAAATGGCCAATGGAAACAGATGCTACGAGTTCTAAAAAATGATAATAGAAACTCATACCTTGTTAGGCATTAGATAATCTGTAGAAAAAAAAAATCACCCCTTTCAAATGCACCAGTTGCTGGGAAGATTCAGTTGGAGCTTGCACGGTCTCAGACTGTAGAATTAGTCAACTGTGACTCAGAACCAGCAAAAGAAATTAAGCTTCACCAGTTTCAGTACAGAAAACTATAATTTAATAATACAGAGATCAACACCTCATTTTTCAGACATGGAATCCTTATTCTTACTGTAAGGCTGAAAAATAACCTTTGAATCTAAAATGAACTTTGTCATCCAGTCTTGAAATTTGCTGTATACTTTCACAGACAGTTAAGAAAACTGAGCTTTCGTGTTTTGGTAATCACTACCTAATTTGTCTGTGTTTCTCAAAAATCTGTTTTTCATGGACTAGAGCAAGAAGTCTCTAAATTAACAAATAATTCCTTAACTTTCTTCTTGGACTAGCACTTCATTCCTCTCTTTCCATGTCATTCTGTGTTCCTCACCCATACACACAAATTCAGTTACTAGGTCCACGTAGATGTCTCATAAGTGCCTAATCTTTTTTTTACCTCTCCAAAAAAATTGTGCTAATAAAACAAAGGTTCTGCAGTGCAGATATCTACTTCTCAGCAAGCCAGTCTTGCATTCCTTACTAGTGGATGGAGATCTTGTTGATAAGAACTAGTGAAATTTATGGCATTCCACCTGTTTGTGGGAGGTGGTGAATAACTGCCTTTACATCACTTTTTTTTCTTTCATTCACTTATTAAACCATCTTTATTTTGACCCACAAGTTTTCTTGCTTTTGCTTTTCTGATTCTTTCTTCTGTCCTTTGAGGGGAGTGAGTGAGTGGCCAGCTGCTGGCCAGGATCAACCTACTACAGGCGTGATTCGTCTGACTAAATCTGGACGTCTACTGATTTATTACATTGGTAAGATTTCCATGGAGTGTAACAGAGGACTGGCTCAGGTGTAGACGATGATGTAGACATCAAAATTTAGGTGTGATGTGTCCCAGACATGATATCTGTGGCACTGTGGGTAAAAAACCGCTCATGTTCAACATGGTTGAAGGCAGGTCTTACTGTTTTCTTTCCTGTAGTTCATCCATTGACCTGTCACAATAACACCAGATTTATTTTTGTGTCTTTTTCACGTGACTTGGACACCATCTACTGTTATGAGAAGCATAGGTTGATCAAGCTCTGTCTGAATTTTTCTGAGTTTCCTTGAATGATAATATTAAGATGCCTTATGATGCAGTCTTTCTGGGTAGCTAAATCTCATAAAATTGTCATCCTGTTTTTTCTGCAGCCTCCTGAACATGTGGTAGAGTCCCTTCATACCTGTTCAGAAGGCAGCTGCTTAGCTCATTTTCACAGTCTGTGGTATCTTTATTGCACCAAGCAAATTATTCGTCTTTACTTTCAAGGCCTTTCGTAGGTGATATTTCCTGGCAAGCTGTTGATCCATCTCTGATGAATGCCTTTCACTAGCTGCCTTCATCCAATCTCGCCTTTCCAAACATATACCTTTGTGCCTTCTCTCAGGATTTAAATTATGCAATGTATGTTGGTTTGTACGTCATATCTCAGTATTTGCTTTTGGATTGTTATTTAGAATGTGTTTCTTCATGTGTTTTGTTTTGGGTTTTTTTTGGAGGGGGGGTTTGTTTGATTGGTTTAGTTTGTTGTTTTGTTTTTTTTTTCTTTTTAATTTTTTTTTTTTTTCTGGGCAGAACTATGCATCCTGTGCACACAGACTAGCATCTAGAAACTGATGCTGCAACCCATCAGTAAGCTTCTCTGACTGTCATGGACTGTAAAAAAAAGTCAATCTGAGTTTGTCTGAAAAAGTGTATGTAAATATACCCTCTGTTGTGAAGCTGGGTTCATCACCAGAGAAATTATCCCCAAAGTTATTCTGCTTGAATACGTGTATTAGTGTACATAACTTATTTAAGTACATTAGTTCTCTATATAGTTAGAGGAGATAAGTGTATCTGAAGTACTTTGATTAGGACATTATATAATGTGAAAATCAAGTGCTCTGAATAATACCTGAAGAAACTTTAATGATTCTGTCAAATTT